GATGAGTTTGACATTTCTATGACATATTTGTTTTTATGCATATTATAATCAGCGTCGTTGTCTGCAGTGCACGAAAAATATTTGCCAAAATGTCAAAATTTAAACTTTATTTATTGTTTGCGCCATGCCGTGCCACCTTGTGGCGCCGCAATCCATGATTTAGTAGCAGTAGCCGCTTTTGGATTCAGGCAGTGGCCAGGTCTGCCAACTGAGGCTCTGAGCCAGTCAGCCAGCCAGCATAATTAACGCCATTTTGGGCCGATTCTGATGCCGTTGGCGCTGCTGCCAACTGCTGCCAACTACTGCTACTGGTGCGCCCTGCTGATACCTGGCCTGCCTTTTGTTTGTTGCTTTCTGCAACGTCATTATTATCTGGGTCTAGCTGCTCGCTTCTAGCTGCTCTCTGCGCACGCTTTTCCGCCACGTTTTACCTTTTCCTTCGCCCTACTGGGTGGGGTTGGCTTGTGTGTATTTATTTTTCCAGCTTTACGCTCTACCTTTGCGAAAGCTTCTTCGTCGTCATCATCGTTTTCTTCGCTGCGCACAGTGGCCCAAGCGTCTACTGCGGCTCAGCAAATTTCAACAATAATTTTCTTGAGATAATAATACTTAGTAATATGCCTGAAACTTTAATTTAATTTAATTTAAAAATTATATTTGATAATCGTCGTTAGTCGACTTTCTTAATTTTCTTGTCAATGATATTTAATGTCGTACTGGATATATAAAATTCTGATAAATTATTAGGCTAGCCACAGAGTCTAACAGGATTTTTGTTTCATTTTTTCGCTTTAAATCAAAATATTTAATTTTATATACACGTATGGATATGGCTTAAAACTTTTCATTTAATATGAAAGTCATGTGTGGTTAAATAATTTTAAATAGTATATAGATTTTCCTCGTTTCTTTCCATTCTTTCTATTAAAGGAGTTGAGCGACCAATCCTGATTTAATTATTTTGAAAAGTTCCCGATTTTCACTTCCTTTCGGAGTGTTCCTTTTTAGTATAAATGTAATATTCTTCATCTTAATACAATGCACATTGAATTGAATCTGGGTACAATAAAAAAAACCTTGTAGGTAAATAAAATAATGAAAATAAAAGTGCAGGCAAATATGAATACTTCAAAAATATTTTCTGCATATTTATACTCTAAGGGTAAAAAAATTTTTCCTCACTTAAAAAAAACACAATTTGGTTAATAGAAATCAAATCTGATTAAAGAACTCCAAAAAATCAGATAAATGTTTCTAGAAAGTATCCACCTCTGAATAAAAAAGGTGTTCATTAAGCGAGTTTTCACTGTATATAGTGGGGCCTGGGTGTTACCTACATTTGTCCTAAGCTTAGGGCGGTGGATACTTTTCAGAAAAATTTTCCCGATTTTTTTGAGTTCTTTAACCACATTTGATTTAAATGAACCAAATTGTATTTTTGTTGTTTTGAGGTGTTCTGTTAAAAATATTGTAATTTTATTTTTAATTAAATGTTATTTAAATGAAATCAATTCCAATTGTTTTAAACTCCTTACGAGCACTGGCAGCAAATTGAAAAATAATTAATAAATTAAAACCAAACCCAAAAATATACTTTATTGATGTTAAGTTGCTAGTTGTTATCATTATAAATTATTATTAAGTAGCATATTTACAACTATAATTAATTATTATATGAAATATGTATATAATAACAGCATCCGAAATTAATTGCTTAATTGCGATTAACAATTGCTCGCAGTTGGTCACAGATTATCTGCCGCATTTTGAATTTTGAGCCACAGTATGTTGCCGCCATTTTTATGTACATCATTGGAGAGCAAACCTCCGACTGTCCACCCCCTCCTCCAAAGTTGCGTTAGAGATTTTGCGCTGTAGTCGCTCGGTAGAGATTTACAGCGAGTGGTTCATCCACCAAATGGCGGTGGTGGTTTCTTTTGCTCCTTCGTTGGTTTACACACACTTCAGCGTAATGGCGCGCACTTTATTTGGTTTTGCGAGGGGCGTGGGTTGCTTGAGCAGTTGCTGTTGCTGTTGTTGCTGCTGCTGCTGCGGCGCCCAAAAGTATGCATACAAATGAGCGTTAAATAAATTATGTTTATGTCCGAATTAAATAAAACATTCTCAGTCATAAATTTCGCTCGCATTAACATGAAAAATGTAAATATAAAATGTATAACAACAAAATGAATGAAGAAAGTGCAATAAAGTGTGAGTGTGTGCCCCACCACCCTTCCCCAGCCCCGACACTCCGACACTCCGAGCTGGTCACCAAAATGGCCAAAATGGCGCAGATTTGTTGGCCAGAGATGGGCCGACAAGGCCAGGGAAGGGAAAATTAATTAAATGGGTTTATGCACGTGAAAATTAAAATGCGACGGAGTATATACTATATTTTAGCGCGGCAACAATAAAAAGTAGTGGCCCTTTTTACAAAACAAGCTCAAATGTAAACTGAGCCTAATTAAATTATGAATAATTACGTGACCTCGGCCACAAAAAAACATTGCCCAGGATTACACGCAAATGATGCAATTTGCTTTTGTTGTTGTTGTTGTTGTTATTGTTGTTATGCTGGCTATGAAAGGCAACTATTTGTTTTATCGCACTTTCGCTAAAGTGAGCCCTAAACACACACACACTTATATACACATATATAGTTACATATATAGAGCTATATGTGAGGCACTTTTGTTAATTTGATAAAAAGCCAAAGTAGCACCGAGATTAGCGAAGGCGACAAGCAGCCATGGAGCCGGCCAACCAACCACATTTTTGGACTTGCTAATTGAAATGAGCGACGTGCTGTTGCCATTGTTGTTGTTCTTTTTGTTGCTAATGAAATTTAAGCCCAAGTCTTAGGGGTTGCTGCTGCAATACTCGTACTCGTAGTTCTCGTGCCCACAACTTTTCATGCGTAAATTAGGTTTTAGTTTTATTTTGCTGCGGCCTTTTTCACATTTTATTTTTTTTATTTCGCTGATAAAAATCATAATTTATGACATCAGCTGCCATGGCATATTTTATTTCAGAGCCAGAGCTTGTTTTATGACATGCCCTAGCTCTGGTTTCACCACAGCCCAGGAAGTCCTCCACAAAGGACTGCATAGAACGCACTCCAGAGCAGGGGCGTCGTAACAAACCTCCACTTTTTAAAGCCCAACATTTATCAAAAGTCTATGAGGATTTCATTTTAGTTAATTACAAGGAACTTTTGAGATATTACACATGCACTTTGTATCATTTAAAACGTTTTTATGTTTCATTTTAAAAGTATTACTTTATTTCCGCTTAACTCGTCAATAACACTTGTAATTACTAGATTTTTTCTATAATACCCTAAATGTTTATAGTGCTTACTTCCTTGTAATTCTCGTTCTAAAACAAATTAAGTAGTATTTTTTTATTATTTATTTTTAATCAGCAACAGCTCCAACTGTTATAGTTTTGTTTTTTTTTTTTTTGTGGAGAAATATTTATTTATGTACATTTAAAAAATTATTTAAATTTATAAGTTGTACAATAAATATACATATTACTCCCATTGAGTATTTGATAAAACATTGTTTATAAGCCCATCTGTGAATCCCTGCAGCATTTAAACCAAAATAATATTGCTATGAACTCAATATTAGTTTCTTTTCAGCAAAAAGAGCCTTCATTCTTCCCCCTTTTGCGGTCTAAACTTTTAAATCTGTTTACCACCGCACACAAGTAAACTTCCGCCAATAATTATACACTACTATTTTGGTAATGCACTTATGAATAAAGAAAGCAATTAGATATTAATATAAAAAAATTTCGAAAGCCATCATAGTTTTTAAACTTGTAGACGACATTCAATAACTCGAATAATTTATTAATATTTGTGCAGACATAATTGATTTCTGTATGTGCTGATGAAATACAACTGAATTTTAGTTTGTTTGCAGCAGTATAGAGCCTCCATTATTTCCCCTTTTGCGGGCTTAATTTGTAATTAAAACTATTTACGAAAACACACAAACAAAATAAACACTACATGCTTCTGGATGAATACTGAAATGTATTAGTGTGTAAGTCTGGGTCTACCAAGAGTTAACAAATGTGGAAAAATCTTTTCCATACATAAGTTTTAAAAATAAAAGACGACACAGATTATATATTTGTTTTAAATAAAGCTATCTCATGGACAAACTTGCCTGATTTCGGTAGTTGCTGTTGGGATAAACTGAAAAATTCAGAGAGCATTTGAAGAAACTATTACAAAGCTTTGCTATGACTGCAAAGAATTCCCAATCGACCTCCTTTGCGTTTTCACCCCCAAATACTCCACCATGTGCGCTGTTTGTATTGTGAAAATATATTAAGTTTTTGTTTGTTATCGTTTATCGCGCATAAATCAATTTTTGTGACAAATTTATTATAAAAACTTCGGGCGCATGCCGAAAAAAATGGCGTCCGTTTGCCGCTGGCGCTATGAGTATTGTAAGGGTGGCTATATACCTATGGATATGGTGGGTGTGGGTAAGTGTGGGTAAGTGTGGGTAAGTGTGTGTGTGTGTGTTTGTAAGTTCCCATACATATTGTCATAATACAATATATAGTGCCAGGCGGGCGCACAAGCTGGGCTGCTCATAAAATATTACAATGACACCATAAACAATTTTTACAACCTACTTTCCTTCCAAGCGTCATGTTCTGTTTTAGTCTCCCAGCTATGGAAAATTTCTTAATATTTATTGTATTGCACAGACATAGACACATAGTATACTACTAAATAAATATACTACTATTGGATTTTTATGAAGTTACTATGGTTTTCGGTTGCCTTCGCTGGCTGCTCAAAAACATTTGAGGCTAGTTATTTATGGCGAACAATTGCGACGCCATTGCAATCATAAAATATTAATGGCTAATAAAATAAGAAATCATCTACTTAGAAATATTTACGCCTGCCACCCCATTGGTCTGCATATATATTTTATTCACTACATTTTATTGTTTTTCCATCTTTGCAGTTGTTATGCATAAGGATAAGGAGGAGAATGGTGTCCTGCCCCACATACACGCACACGATGGCTATCGAACACGAGAGCTGGGGGCCTTTGAGCACGGCCTGCTCGATGGTGATATGTTCCTGCAGGTAAGCTGCAACCATCTCTAATTTTTGCTAATCAATTTGATAACTTAATTAAGTTCGAACTGGGAATACGCACGGCGCATAATCAATCAACGATGGTTAGCGACTTGTGTTGATAAATGTTTCCCCCCACCCACACATGCATATACATCCATATCTGCTATATATATGTATATAAGTAGGATAAATGTACGTACAAGTTGTTAGGTTTGTCACGCAAGCCTTCGCGGTCTGCATTGATTTGTACGAAGGTGGAAAATTGTCTAACAGTTTGTTGCAATTAGTAATGTGTGTGTGTCCATGCGCTAAATTGATTAATGTTCTAATTGGCATGTGTACAGAAAATTCCGACTGAATTAATAGCTTTTCCAGAGGCCAGTCTCTCTGTCCTGTCGATTGATAAATACATAATAAATTCAGTTACCTATGACTAATTATTAGCAGATAGATGGAGCCAATTAGAACTTATTCAGCGAACTATATTTGGATTTAAGACATATCGATTCTCAATGATAGAGTTTCTAAACAAGAGTCACAAAACACGACAGCAAAAAAAGATAAAACTTTATCAATCGAACAGGGAATGCTGCTTGGAAATTCAATAATTAAGCCATTACTTAAGGTATTTACCAAGCCGGCTGATGCGCATCTAGTATAACTTAACACAATATTTTTATAAAATAATACATAAAGTGGACTTTATTGTAAACGTGTTTCCCTAAACTCATGCGTATCTTGACTAAAGCCGCTTGGAAATGACGAAGCGTTCTTTAATAGATAGGCTACTGGCAAACCTTCTTCCAAAGACTCCATCTATGTAGATGTAAGCCAAATGGTAAACCTTCATTCTTTCAGTTGAAGCAATCAAAAGCTTCAGCTTTTAGGTAGCAACTATTGATTAATGATAGTTTATAGTCATTTTTAGGTAATAAAATAAAAACATTATACTATTTCCAAGGCAATTCCTTACACCATACAATTCTGTTTAAGGGGTTGTTACCTGCATATATAATACATAAGTTGTGGTTTAAGTGATCTAGCTGCTCATACCTTTGGGCTACAAATGAGCTCGGAATTTCCGAACGAGATCGTCTTCTCTTGTTTCCATACAAATCAGTTATTTTTAAAAGTTCATATACAAACTGTTTCCAAATATTAAGCAAAAAAGGATAGAAATAGCAGCTAAGCTAACACTTCAATCGTGGCGGACAATTTAGATACCTTAAACGGTGGTTTAAAAAGCAATTGGGCTAAAAAACAAGAAATGTTGATTTCAATTTTATTTACATTAGAATTTATAGTTTATACAATTAGTTGTTCAACCTCGTCCATAAGAGCTATCATAAGTCTTGACAAACAGACCTCACCACGAAGGTGGCAAATAATTTGATTTCAACGTTTTTAAATAATTAAAAAGCTTATGAAGAGATGGATTATTTAAGGACAGTGAGAGTATATTAGCAATCAAAAGACTTCCGGGTAATAAGTATGTACTTCCTAAAATGTCGAACACGAATTATTGCTCGCAATTCTCGCCCTTTCTGGCGCGTTTTCCCAATGCCACTCCCGTCTCTAATTTTTACACGCTCTTTTATCTGTTGATTAAAATTGAGTCATAATGCATATGAAGTTTCTGAGTGCTGCAACATTTTACCCTTGGGAGCTGAAATGTGAACACTTTAATAAAGTTTGTAATATTCCCATTGATGAAATGGTCCCCTGTCCCAAATTCTTGTGTTTCAATTGCGATTTCGGAAATTCATTTGGCCATACAAATTAGTCGATAATTGCCGTGAATTGCTGATAGTTGTAATTGACTGCCAATGCCACCAAGCCATCAGGTGCAACAGCAAAATTATGCATTTCAAGTTTATGTACACTACCATGTGCTCCCGAAACTCCAATTAAAGTGTCTGCCACACACACATACACACACTATTCGCACACACATACAGAAGCGGCGCCCAAGTTGCATGTTTGTAATGTATTAAAGCTTGAGGCACAAAGGCGCTGAAGTGAATGTTTCGAACATATGCACTTGTCACAGCACTGACAGTTTAATTTAATGCACACATACCTCAAACAGTAACGCCTGTTGGACAAACGAACACACACCCAAACGTATATACTTGTATGTATATAGTTGTGCTTCCATTTTCGAAATCGCAACCCACTTGCGACTTACTTCTGAAATCGAAAATGCAGCTGCTCTGACTAGAGACAAAATACTCCATCTAGATGATGATTGCAATTTGGTTTTTGAATCGAAAATGCAGACACTATAAATAGACACAAAGATATCTTCCCAAACTAATGGTTAAGTGTAAGACTTGATCTGCAAATATGGATAGGAAATACATAGTCGTCACTATCAAATTTATTGGGGAATGTACCCGTTCAGTTTATCAAAAGTTTTACCTTTAAATATGTGCCATTTGCATTTGCGTAAAAAGTCAACTTTTTAGTTAAATACTTTTGTCATTAAACTTTTTTTGAGTCATTAATTGAAGAAATGTGTATTTAAATATCAAGTAAATCGAAAATTTATCTGAATGCGTGATGTTTTCTATTTCCATTGAACGGGCATATGCGATTGAAATATTCCACAATCAATTGAACAATCTTTTCATTTTGTAAAACTGAATACCATTTTGTGGGCTGGAAAAAGAATTAATTTTGAAAAAGTTGTGTAAATCTGGACAGTAACTACTAATCGGTTGAACAACTTATAATGCGAATATTTTCGCATTTATTATGTTGAAAAAATTTAAGAATTTTTCCATAAAAGAAAATCAAATTCTCTTGCTCCGAGTATTTCCAATTTAGGTTTTGAAGCAATAGCTCTTGTGTGTAGTCCTTCCTACAAACGTATTTATGGCGTATTATTTTCCTAAGAATATTTTTCAAATACGCTCCCAAGCCAATATCGTCTCAATAATTCGTAAGAAAATAAAATGAAATCTCACAAGATTAAGGAATAATCTTGATATCGTGAGTGTAATACTATAAGAAGATAGAACAAGTTCGAAATTAAACACATCGATCAGAAAAATAGGCGAAATAAAATCGCAAGAATTTCTTACAAAAGCAAAACGCAAATCAATGCGGAAATGGTTGCATGCCTGACACACAAACCAACACTCACACAGACACAGACACAGACACACGCATTGGTGCAACATGCGCTTTATGCATTTTTTGGTCGCACACTACACAATTCAATGTCAAAGTCTAAGCAAGCTAGGCATGTATAAAAAGGCCTACAGTCTGCTTGCAGTTACTTTTTCTCTAACCCTACCGCCGAATAGAAAATGCAGTTTGCATTCGGGCCCTTAAAATATGCAGTTGAGTGCATTACGTATACGCAGAGTGGTGGCAAATTTTGAACGCAAGCCAAAAAAGCCTGGAAAACTTTTTGCTATGCCTTACAAAATGAATACATAAAGGCATGTACATACATGTATGTACATGTTCATATGTGTATGTATGTGTATGCGAAAAGGGCAGACTGTTGGCACCGGCGAACTGCAACTAATTGTCGAGCTGCACAATTGTGCATTTCCGTGCATATTTTTAGACAACTCAACGGACTTGGCGAGTCTTTATGCATGTGTGTTCTTTATGTGTGTGAGTGTGTGTGTTTCTGTGTATATTTAGTTTTAATAGCTCAGGTATTTGTTACCTGTTGCCCGTTTCAATTGCTCATGAAGTTTTACTTTTGTTGCCAGCTACTTGTATCGCTGTTGCTGTTGCTGTTGTGGGTCACATATTATCATTAGAAAATGGCGTTTTGTCACGCAGCGCGCGCCCATTCATGCATATGCTCCATCTCATTCATACTAAGGCAAAAGCAACAAAAACCACAACAACACAGCAGCGCAACCACGTTCGTTTTTCCTGTTTGCGGCAAGAAAGTGAAACACTTTCAACACTTTTATTCGCGACACACATTTTGAAGCTCAAAATAATTAAACACTAGCAACGAAATATGTAATTGATTTAAGAGTTGGATAGACCTGTCCAAATAATAATACTAGAGCACTAGCAGCTGTTAATAGCGAAGCGCCCACACGTCGTATGCGCAACATGTTCGTGGACAAGTCAAGTGCACCGCTCATGGTCTGAAGCATTTGGCCATGTTTTGACAAGCACGCCAGTTTGTTGGATGACTTGTTAAATGCTTGTTCAAGTAGCAAGCTGGCTATTAAGCTAAATAATTGAATCAAGTAATGCAAATAGAAGTTAAGCTTTATGCACAATTTCAGTTTATATTAAATCTACTTGTATTATTAAAATTCGGATTATTTTAAACGTTCTTACACTCTTACTATACATTTTTTAAGCACTGTTATTAATGCGCAACATGTTCGTTAACGATTTGTAAATTTTTCAAATATCAAGCTGGCTATTAAGCTAACTCGGCAAACCAAATACTTGTTCAATTATTATTACTATTTTATTAATCTTCCTAATGTTTTTTTGTTATGCTAAGCCGTTTGATTCAGAAACGGAGTAATGGTTTTTGTATAACTCTGACATTGAAAATGCGTCTAAATTTTTGTATTGTTTTAAGCCTCAACTTTCGAACTTAATAAACATGAAATATTTATCTTTGCAGTCAGGCTACAAATTTGACTTTTCTACCATTAAAGAATTGCTTTATTGGCGAATATTAATTAACTCGGCTTCTTTTAACGGCATTTCTTACTCCTACTGCATTTTATTGTCAAATATTAAAATAACAACGGGTACTTGAATTCCCATTAATGAATACTTCGTAAAATCCTCATCTTCTCTCCTGGACCAGAAAATAATTAAAATTAGTATGCGCTCAAAAGTCTGCAACCATTGCTGAAACTCTTTTATTACTTCTTACTTTTTTTTTACTTAAATTGAGAGGCTTCACTTATTAGTCGAACAATTTTTCAATTTATTGATAGAAACAGGGGAGCTCCTATTTCAAATTGTGTTAAGAAAACATGTCTTTTCTAATATATAATCAACATTAAAATTAATTTGAATAAACCCCAGCTATTTTCAATTCATATTTCAATACATATTGCAATTATTGTTAGTCTGTTATGTGTATAGCTTAATCCAGAATGGCCAAACCTTGATAAACATTGGTGGCTTTAAAAGTACATCTAAATAGTGAAATCTCTTTGTGTTCAATCATTTCAAAACTTACTCTAATACAAAAAAAAATTGGTACTATACAAACATCAATGACACAAATTTGAGATGAAATAACCCTCATTAAAGTGAACTATTCAGCAATCGCTACTATTAATTATTTGTATTCACATTACCCATATATAGTATATGTATACATGCATTTAAAGCTCAACTCTATTGACGATTTCTCATCTGCCACGCAGATTACACCACTTGACCCACACAGCTATGGCTTTATTAAGCAATTATGGTCAGCAATATAGCGAAAATTGTCTAGTTTTGCGAACTAACTGGTCATGTGAACTCGACTAAGCTCACTGACATACACTGACTATAGTCAACGGCAGGAGAGAGCGAGAGAAAAAGGGAACGTCGAGGAAATGATAAAATAATCGCTGCCAACTTATCAAATCAAAACTGAAATGAAACTCACAATCGCAGCCAGATTTCACAAGTATCTTTCGCTTGCTGCACGGGCGTGTATTATTAAAAACGCATTAGAGGATGATGTTGGGGATGGTGAAGTCGTCGGCAGACTTACTTAAAGTATAGGCCACCGCAGTGGATGAGGAAGGGAATAAGGAAAAAAATTGAGAATGAAATCTCAAGTGCAATGGGGACGCAGAGACCAGCCATCAAGCTGGCCTTTCATAGAAAAATACGCTGTGAGCTATTTAAGAGATTGATGGTAGGAGCAGCACATCCGTTGCCAGTCAATCTATATTTTCTTATTTAATGTCTTTAATTTAATGTGAATATTATAAAATTTAAATTAGGAGTTAATTTATAAAAAATGAATCTATTGCTTGATAATTTCATATCTGTTCTTATTGCAAAGAATTTTTAAATGCACATACATATGTAAATTATAATCTATTCATTGTCTAAATAAAGACGCTTAATTTTTGATGCTGAATTTTTTTAGCGAAAAGAGAATATTTTGTTTTGCAATCGATCCAACAAATTCTGCCTATATAATCTACATGGAAAATAATTTGGTATGTTATGGCTGCGGAAAAAACTTAATTATGAAAGGAAACTATCTGTTATGGTATTTAGCAGTTGGTCGGAACATATTTTATTTATAAAATGCAAATGCACGACTAAAAAGCGTAAAAGCTCATGTTTGGTGGATTTGTAGAGAAGAATTTGTTCCTCATATCGATGCATCTTTTCATTTTGTTTATCAGATCTGATTTAAAACGCAATTTTCTCCAAGTTGGTGTTTAACAGGACTATGATTTCACAACAACAGCGTTGCTTAACCAAACAAATTTCATTCAAATATCGTAATTTTTTAGGTAATATAAAATAAAAGAAAATGTTGAACAAGAGTGTTCTAAAAATTGAGAAAGTTATGATGATACCAGTAATGGAAGAATCCTTTAGAGACTTTTTAAATAGTCTCTATACATCTATGAGGACTAATTAAATATTATTAGGAATTCTAAGTCAAGATCTGGCATACACTTTGAACAATTTGATAGGCAGTGTATATTTCGTCCCATTGCTATCTCACCTGCTGCTACCGTTCATCATCTTTATGAAGATTATTGATGTGCAACGAGCTTGGTTGCAAAACCTGCCGCGGGCTTGATGACAATTCATATCCTTTCGGCCTTTCGCAAAGGAGCTGGCAGCTAGGCTGGCTGGCCAGCTTCGGTTGTTGATGCGATTTAAATGATGACGCCACTTAGCGTTTATGTCGGTTAATGCCAACTCTTGTGCTTTATTTTTGTTGCACAGCAACTCGAAATGTGTGGCAGAGGAGGCCGTGCTTGTGGCCGCTTCCCTGTTGAAAGTTCCCTGTCTGCCCGTTGAGTTGCAGTTCCAGTTCGGCCTGCCTCTCTGTAATTAGCAGCAATCGCAGGCATTTGTCTCGAGTTGCAAGTAGACGTGGCAGCGGCCGCAACGTCTGTTCTGGTGCTGTTGGCCTGCAAATTGATATTTAAATACGCCTGTATTAATTATGAGCAGTTGGCCATGTTTATTAATTACAATGCGCACCGATCACTACACTAATGAAACAACAGCAGATTTGTCTTTTCAGTTTCGTTTTACAATTTCATGAATGCTTATTATTATTCTGACCATCGACTTGTTCACACATTGTGTTGGCATTTTGTGCCTGTGCTGGTGCTGGTGCTGGTGCTGGTACTTGGTGCTATCTAGTCGAACTGTTAATTGTTAGCCGTACATTGTTAATTGTTAATTGCTAACTGTTTTGGTCATATGCGTGTCCTGACCATGCGAGTGTAAAAAATTTGAAATCGCATGCGCAACACCCATTAACAGCCAATAAATAGCAGCTTTAAATGCAATCTAAAATAATAATAATTCAAGAAACTTAAAAACTTTTGCATGCTTTACAACTTTTCAACTGTATTGTTGTTGTTTCTGCTGCTGCTGTTGCTGTTGCTATTGTGTGTTGTTTAGACAGTTTTTGGACAGGTTTACCGGTCGCGCTAGTTGCCACAAATATCTATACATGTATGTATGTATACTATATAATTACAATGCTACTCGCACTCAAAAATGAAAAAAATACTGAAGATAAAAAAAGAATGAAACCAGCAATTACAAACAGAACAAGCGCATAAAGTAAAGTATCAGCTACATATAATTTTTTCTGTTTTGTTTTTAAATCAAAAGCAAAAAACACGTAACCCTTTTTCAGCTGCAGCATTCAGTTGAGAGCCATTGATTTAATTGCGCGCCATTTCCCGGTTGTGTTTGATGTGGAACTCTTGCTGTTGTTGTTGTTTCTGTTGCTGTTGCTGATGTTGTTGTTGTCTTTGACTTGGTCCGCTGCTGCTTTACAAGAAATGAGCAACCTTAAGCGCTGATTACGTTTCAGCCGCAAGTTAGCGCCGTCGCGTCGACTTCGTCAACACACATAAACACATACATATGTACATTCATTCATCCATTCATATACATACATATATGTATGTACATATGCTTATGCTCGCATCTTAGACTCAACGAACGACTGCCAGATGATGGATTAATCCATTCAAGAAGCGGTAGCTACCGCAATTACAGCTGCCTTTATCTCGCTCGCGCGCTGTCAGTCTCGCCCATTCTCTCTCTCTCCCTCACACACACACACAACACACTTTTTTCTATCGATTTCTACATAAAATACATACTTGCTACTTGTCTCTAACAGCGGCATCGGCGGCAGCAGCAGAAGCAGAAGCAGCAGCACGCCTGCGCTCATTTCATATCGTGCCGCCTTTCTTTCTTTCTTACCCTCTTTCTTATTCCATACGCCTCGCTCGTCAATTTGACAGTTACCGTTCTCTTTTCCTTCCTTGTTTTATTTTGTATTTTTTGCCGCAACTACATTTAATTCGTAGTTTTGATTTAATTTGTTGTTTTCTTTCTGCTCTCTGCTTTCAGGCTCTAAATGGATTTCTAATGATACTGACATGCGAAGGCGAGGTCTTCTTTGCCACGCACAGCATCGAGAGTTATTTGGGTTTTCATCAGGTAAGTGGATGGCAAACATACACAGACACACATACACACATACATGCATACATAATATGTACATACATACATATAGACAATTTTTGATTGATTTTAATTGCCTGCGGTGAGTGGCGCATATTTTTGTGAATGAAACGAGTAGCAATGACTTCTTTTTTTTTTTTGGGTCAAATCAGAAGCGTTCGGGGGGTCAAAGTACAGCTAAAATACGAAGAGGATCCAAAAGCACAATTTATTAAATAATGTTTGAATTTTCATTTATATATACATCTGCTTACTATATTTATATCGCATAGTTCGCTAAGGTCCACGTTCTATCGCATTATATTTAACGCTTAAAACATTAGCTGTTTTGTAGTAAATATTTAATAAAACTCAAAAATGAAGATAAATATGTGCTAAGATTACAATCAATTACAATGGAATGGAGGCTAAAATGCATTATGCCCGGATTAGAGTATCTGAAGTGCAAAGCAGCAATTTAGCAATATCAGTTATATTATATAATATTTTAAAATTAAACTAATGCTAAAATTTCATAGTTTAGAACAATCCAATATTATTGTATCTGATGTAGGTAATCAGATAATAATTTTATTAAGGCTCATCATGGACTATACTTAATTAAACGAAATCTTTATTTATAAGAGGAAATTGCTTACGCTTGAAATAGACCAAATTTTCAAGATTCTTCACATTTTGCTGACCAATAAACAGATTAATAATTTATAATTATTATTTATATTAATAAAATGATAATAAGCCAAAATATGCCTAATATGTTTTATACAGATACCGAAATATTCGAAATAATTTGCTTAATGCTTTAAAAGAAAATTGCCAATGCTCTAATATGTATTCTATCCCCAAGGCATTACAAGTTTACTATTTATCATTATTTGTCTAAATTAGAAACAAATGAGAGGACAATTAAATCAAGAGCTTAAAATTACATTATCCCTTAAAGATTGTGACTAATGAATATTAAATTAAATTATAAATATTAAATTAATGAATCAGTCAATGTACCTATATTATTTTAATCATATAAATATATTCCGATATAGATGTAGTTTTATAGCCTTTTATTAAATCAATGAATGGTATCAAAAATATATTTGTGAGTCTGTAAGGGGTAAGGTGACAAGCTTGTTTTCTCATGGCAGTACGATTTATTTTGTTGATATCTACTTAATGAACATTACATATCTATATACGAGAATAATCAATACCTTTGTAGATATTTTAACCATCTGCTCTGCCTATCTCTTAAGAGCTCCTCAATTTGCCTTTTCATAATCATGCAGCCAAGCCAAATATATCGTAACCACTGGTTACTCGAGACTTAACTGTGGCAACACCTTCTAGCCACACATTCGGCGTCTGTTATTCAACACACCTTACAAGCAATTTGCCAATCGCTGTGCAAATAATCAGCATACAGTGATCATTGAGGGAAAAAAGGTTGAACAAGTGCAAAAAACAAACAGAAATTATGACTACGTCTGCAAACAGACGATCTACATACGAGACAAGGCGCAAGATGTGCTCGGATATTGGCCAGTTTGAATCATAAATAAAAATCAGATCAGCGGGAGGATTGCGCAATAGCAGCAGCAAGAAGCAAGCAGGCAAACAAACAGACATACAAGCGGACAACCATTCAGACAGACAAACAAACAGGCAGACGGACAGAAGTAACAGAAGATACATGCAGAGATGGTAAGAGGCATCGCCTGCACTGAGGGATTTCCTCACGTGGCACAGTGTGCTATTTCAAGGACCTAGTTATAAAAAATGATTTTTTAATTAATTTAAACTTAACTGACTCGCTGTGGAACAGTCCAATGAGTCAAATATTAGCCTGAGTCAGGAATATTTTACCGAGATAACCAACCAACCCACTTAAATATTAAATAAATTGTACCTATATTATTTAAATCATATTAGTAAATTGTGTAATGTACGATATTTAAATGTTTATGTTATCTAAGTTAACTTTTAATGCCTATAGCGTTATATTATTTATATTATTAATTAAAAATGTATTACTTATAATTTTATAATTCGATTAAATTTGATATGTTTTTATATTATTGTATAGCTATTTATTTATATAATGCTTGATTCAAATTAAAATCTTATAACTATAAGAAGCAGTTATTTTTTATTCAATTCATTCACAAAAAGAAAATATTTCAAATAGTTTAAAGTAGAAGTATGAAATAACGAATTACAAATCTTCGCATTTTGTCTTTAGTTATTATTTAAAATGAGTTTGGAAAACAATCTATCTGCAAAAATGGAGACAATGAAGACCCCACAAGACTAATGCATGCATCTGTGGATGATTGACATAATTTATTTATATTACTAAGTATCTTTTCACACTCTTCTCTATTGTTCATAGTTTTTAAGTCTTCTGTGGAAGTCAACTAAATTTCGATACATACCATACTTTAAATTGAAATACGTTTGGCACATTTTTAAATTTTATAGAATATTTTAGGACATGGTCCCATAGTGCGTGATAAGGAAGTGTCAGATGAGGGCAGGGGCGAGGATAGCGGCGTCTGTTATTATTAGCTTGTAGCGGAGGCAACAGCGCCTGGGCAGCTGGTTGGCTTCGGAGTTGGATATTGTGGCCTGGCTGGTCAGTCGACTGGCACTGGCAACATGTTTTGGGCTTGACTTGTGCGCCTGCCTCGAGATCCCCGCTGGACCCTCGCCTGCTGCCCGAGCATTGTGTTTTTGCCTACTTTATTATATTGGCGGTTGTCGAATGGAAATTGAAATTGCAGTTAGCTTTCTTGGCGCTTGTAGTTGCTGCTGTTGTTGTTGTTGTTATTGGTGGTGGTGCTGCTGCTGTTTCTTCATTCATTGGGCTTTGATTTTTAATTTAGTTGTAAATGTGTAAAGCGGCACTTGACACGCCCATTTGGCAGCTCAATTAAAAACGCTGGCATTACCTGGGAGCCCATACATTTCCACATATCATAATCATTTGCTTTGTTGATTTTTGCACAAGAGAAGAAAGTTCCAATAGGTCGGTTGCTGTTCTCCGAGCACCCCACTGTGCACCACCCTAGCGGCTGCTGCACAAATTGTTGTTGCCCCTGCTCTTGTTGTTGGCAAGCTGCAGAATTTATGTCTCAATTTTGCGGCAGCAGCGCCAAAAACCAATATGGGGCGCGTTTTCAATTTGCGCGCATTTTGATTTATAAGCCCGAAAAGAGGCAGCCAACATAAAAAGGTCAAACAAAAAATAAAGCAGTGTTCGAGATTAAAACCAAAATCAATGCGAATATCGAACCACAAATCTGAGCATTGTGCCGCACCAGTATTTTTATACGCGATTTACTGATAAGTGCTTTAATTCTTGAAATGCATCTCATAATATACCATAAATATTGTATTAGAATTTTTGTATTAATGTACAAAATAATTTGCTTCCTGAATTCTTAAGACCAATTTTTTTATCTAATGCCTTTAATACAATTATTTTATTTAAATTAAACTTCATATGAACTCTTGCAATAATAATAATGTAACTATTCCAAATGATGCATATATTTTGATAAAACCTGTAGTAGTACATAAAACACACAAATATTGATAAGCGATGTAATACGTATTTAGTACGTTAATAATTTTTGACAAAAGCGTATTTCTATGGTTACTTTAAGATACTACTTATGGTGTTCCGATTTCAATTAAAATTTAACATAGTTCATTAAACCTAAATGTTGTTTCTAATAAGAGCGATTTTACGCCTGATATTTCTAGGGAACCTTACGTTATTAAGAGTTTGTGTTACGCCTAATAGGTATATGTTTAAGACAAGACTTCAAGAGAAGTTTCGTGTATTTTTAGTTGTATGGTTGAAAGGTTCTGGATATTCAGACAGACAGGTGAACATGTCTATAAGTCAGACTTTTTATGATGTTGTTTTACCCTTTGGGTTCAAGGTAGAACAACTTTTTTTGCCAATTTTTATAAAATATATTAAAAATACATTTTCTGATTTCAATTAAAGCTCTTAAAGAGCGAATAAACTTTTTACTATACTTGCATTATTTTTGCGTTTTGCTGGAACAGCCAAGAAAATTTCATTCACAAAAACATTGCGATTCGGAAAAAGCCTGCTTCTGGCACAATATTTATAACGAGATTTGTTTTGCTTCCTTTTTGCAGTCTGACATCGTGCACCAATCCGTCTATGAACTAGTCCACTCCGAGGATCGGGAGGAGCTGCAGCGACAGTTGCTGTGGAACAGTTTTCTGCCCGCAGACATGTCCAGCATGCAATTGGCCGAAACATTGGCGCCGGATAAGGCATTATATTTGGAGCGCAGCTTCACGGTGCGATTTCGCTGCCTGCTGGACAATACATCGGGTTTTCTTCGTCTGGACATTCGTGGTCGCATTAAAATATTGCATGGACAGAACCGTAAGACAGAGGAGCCACCGTTGGCCCTTTTCGCGTACTGCACCCCATTTGGACCGCCCAGCCTGCTCGAAATACCCCATAAGGAGAATATGTTCAAGTCGAAGCATAAGCTGGACTTCTCGTTGGTGTCCATGGATCAGCGTGGCAAGCACATATTGGGCTATGCGGATGCCGAGCTGGTTAATATGGGTGGCTATGATTTGGTGCATTACGATGATCTGGCGTATGTGGCCAGCGCACATCAAGAGCGTAAGTTTTTCGATGTTATAAGTAATATGGATGAGAAAAATATATATATGTGTAACAACTATTTTTTTAATTATAAAGAGATATCATTTCGATGTTCCAAATATAGTTTCGGAACGTTCCCATATGGAAGTTACCCTTTAACTGGATTAGGAACACAATTTAAATTAAGAATAGCATACTTTTAGGGCGCAGCTTCCGCTTTTGCTGCCTTTGACAGAGTTTAAACTAATTTTGGATTAAACTAAATGATTTTAGAAACAATAACAACAGCTGAAGTTAAAATATTGCCTTTACTTTTGATTCCAACAGCTGAATCGAAAAGTTGTTAAAAATACGTTTTGATTTTCGATTCGTCCAGAACTGGTTATTCATAGGTTTTGTTAGACTGAACGTTTAATTTGTAATACAAGCATTAAATCTCTTTCAAGACGTTTGAGAAAGCAGCTTGCATTTACAGTTCTAAATCAACACAAAAACATTTTGACTGTTTTTCCCCGATTCTAAACAGTTTTTGTTTTTTTTTGTATTGCAGTTCTTAAAACGGGCGCTTCGGGCATGATTGCCTATCGCTATCAAAAGAAGGATGGTGAGTGGCAATGGTTGCAAACAAGTTCCCGTCTGGTTTACAAAAATTCGAAGCCGGACTTTGTCATCTGTACACATCGTCAGCTAATGGATGAGGAGGGTCACGATTTGCTGGGCAAACGAACAATGGACTTCAAGGTTAGCTATCTGGACACTGGTCTGGCCTCCACCTACTTCTCGGAGGCAGATCAGCTGGTGGTGCCGCCCAGCACGTCACCCAACACGCTGCCTCCGCCGGTGACTCCAACACGGCCCAATCGACGCTACAAGACGCAACTGCGGGACTTTCTCTCCACGTGTCGAAGCAAACGCAAACTGCAACAGCAACAGTCCCAGCAGTCCTCGCCACTGGGCCAAGTCAGCTCCCCGGCTCCGGCCGTGGTGGAGTATCTGCCCGATCCGGCGGTGGCGGTGGCTGCCGCCTACTCCAATCTCAATCCCATGTACACGACATCGCCGTATGCGACGGCGGCTGATAACCTTTATATGAGCAGTTCGGTGCATTCGACCAACGCCTTCTATCCCGTCACCGAAAATCTCTTCCATCAGTATCGGCTGCAGGGTGCCGTCGGTGGTTACTACACGGACTACCACCATACGGGTGCGCCTGCCTCGGCCTACGTAACAAATGGCTTCCTATCGTACGATGGCTACGCCATTGCCTCCAAGCCCGACGACAAATGGCAGGATACGGGGAAGTATTACAGTGGATATAGCAGTGGCTACGGCAGTCCCAACTCGACGCCGCAGGTAAGTACAGAGTTCCAAAACCCACAATACTGAATAACCTAGTCATTAATGGAGATATTTGTAACGAGAACAAAAATACTAAAGTAATGGGTTCATATATTTCGAGAGTTAAATTGCTAGAACTGTACATCAAATAATGAGGTTGCCATTATATAAAATTGGTTTAACAAAAACGTACAAAAGAACCTTGTGGCCTCATTTAGCAGTACAAGTACAAAGCTTACGTTCTTGGGACGTGAAATAAACCACTAAATTGAATCTGTATCTGAATCTATACCAAGTTGTTATGGCTCGAAAATTCTCGATGTTCATACAAATAGCCTTAGAAAAAACTATACACCTACATATAGGGTATAGAAGCTTATTAAACTTTTAGGGGCTTTAGAAAATATATCAGAAAGAGACCAAATGGGTCTTTCTAGCTAATTCGGCATTGAAGGCTTTATGTCAAATATTTAAGCGAATTATTTTATTTTATGCTTGCAGCAAGTGCCTCTGAAGACACCCAAATCCTCCCCTCAAGTTATGGACGTCATCTCCTGCTCTTCGGATGGACCTTCACCGGTGGGTCATGCAGCCGCCACTGCAACGCCCAACGGCGTCAGTGTCACCCCGAAAGTGGAGCTTGCCGCTCAGGATCCTTATGAGCGTCAGACGGTACTCATGTGGGGCACCACACATTCCAGTGGCGTGCCCCTAAACAGCTTACAGGGCGCACGAACGGCCGTCTCACCACAACGCACTACTCCCCTGTCCAATGGTCTGAGCTACAACAACAACAACAACAACAATGAGCATGAAAACGTTGCAGCAGCTGCGACAGCAGCCAAATGGAATGGCACCAAAGACAGCAAATCGGCCAACGCCAGTACACCGGAGAGTTATCAGCTGCAGCATGATGATTCTGGTCTATACTCGGCCTCCTCGCACACCACTTCGCCACAGCAGCAGCAGCAGCAGCAACAACAACAACAGCAACAACAACAGCAGCCACGTGTTGCCGGCTCCAATGTGAGCGCAAATAATTCAGTAACCACCGCACAAATTGCCACTGAGCACCAGCCAAGTCTGTTGGCCACGCCCACGCAGGCAGTAGCAGCGCCACCGCCACCGCCAATGCCAATGCAACAACAGCCGCAGCAGCACTCACAGCAGCAGCAGCAGCAACAACACAGCTGCGCTGCCGCCGCCAGCCAACAGCAGCAGCAGCAGCAACAGCAACAACAACAGCAGCACATCCCACAGCACAGCACCCACCCGCACGCACATCATCATCACCACCATCACCATCATCACCCGAATGCGCAGCAGCAAGTGGATGCCACATCTGCTGCAGCGGCCGCGCATGCGCATCATTTGCATCATCACTCCACTCCGAATGGGAGCGAGGTATGGGCGCCAGCATCCTATACGCAATATTCGCAATACTTCACCTATCACCACCATCCGCATACACATCCGCATACGCATCCGGCGGCGGCCAGCGCAGCACACCACCAGGCACACCATCTGCACGGCCATGGCCAGCACCCCACAGCCAGCACTCGCTAAAGTAGCCAATAGAACCAACCAACACCAATCGACACCATTCGGCAACGTAAACTGTCTAGAAAGCACTGTAGACGCACACGCCACAGACAAACAATACTCTGAAGGTGAGTTCACACGGCCAAATAATTTGCTCAAATAGTGGACCAACTGTTCAAAAAGTATGTCATCGATATTTAAACTCAATTTCACTCACAAATATATTAAAAATAACTTTAAGTGGTTGGAAGACAAACACATTAACAAAAGTTCTTCATTACCAAATCTGTAGTCTGGCAAAAAAAAAAAAAACAAAAAACAAAAAAAAAAAAAAAATTGGGGACAGTTCGGTTCCAGAAATAGTTAGAATGAAATCATCTTGAATTTCCAAATATTTCAAAAATGCTTCCAAAGGTACGATTTGATCTCTTTAATACTTTACTTTATTTAAAGCTATAAATCTGCCAAAAGCTTATTTAGTCTCAACTGAATCAGGCATGTAGAACGGCCAAAAAAGGTCAAGGGAGAGTTCACTATAATATTTTTCCCCTAACAAGTGACTACAATTAGTTAAAAATGTATAATCAGTTTATATTTGAAGCACTTTTCTAAAAAAAACTATGCATGTTTTATTTGGTCAGGCCTGTTTGATTAACTAAATTGTTAAAAAAAATTGTATATACATTTAATTTCAAAAACAATTTGGTTTTTAAGGTTTTGTCTTAAAGCTAGAGTGTTGCATTTTCTTCTTACTAGCTACTATCTATTAATTTCAGCAAACCTTTCTCACTTTCTTTCCTGTGAATAATTTTATGAAAGTAATTTAGAATGCAGGCCACGAAAACTAAATTAGAAATTAATACTTCTTCGTCTTAAAACTTGAATAAGGTAAAAATACCTAAATATTTTATTGGAAAGGGGGAAAACACTTCTAAAACTCTGATGACAACAGGACTAATTTTTTGAATAATTGTTAACTGTTTAAGTGAATTATTTGTTCGGGTGAACTTACCCTAAAAGCCACTGTAACAATTTAGAACACACGTGTAAACATGTAAACAATAGCTGAGTGCTAATTTTGCCTACTAACCATAACAATATTCCCTAGATCATACTCACCACCCAACTGCAGCAACAACAACAACAACAGCAGCAGCAGCAACTCGCTGGATATACACTGCATCAGGTGACTGGCGGTGGGGGCGTGTCACCGCCCATTTGCCGCACACCGCCCGCAACGACGCACAACCAACAGCTGCCAGCAGTTACAAGTCTGCTCAATGGCGGCGAAAATGTCTCGCCCTACCATCAACTAGCCATTGTGTCGGCATCAACAGCACCGCTTGTCATTTGCGCCGAGGACGCGACGGCCATGTCCTTGCAGCAGCTGAGCAATGACACACATGTGAGCTCCTCCAGCGGCAGAACAGCATCTGTAAATATTTCACGCAGTGCCCGCAAGGCGGCGAAGTTGTCGGCTCTGCAGCAGCAGCAGCAGCACCAACAACAGCAACAGCAACACTATCAGCAACATCAACAGCAGCAGCAACAACATCAGCATTTGCTCTATCCGGCCAACATAACCGCGCACACGGCATTGGCATATGCTCCGCCGCCTATAAGTAATCCCACATATGTGAGCATCGGCGCCACGGATCAGCATGCCGATGGCAGTCCGTTGCTCTCATTTTCGGAGGTCACCAATACTCTGCTGAATCAGTAGATGCTAGCAAAGGACAACCATTATATAACAGTTTTGCCAAAATGTGGACTATCGTATCTTCCATAACCTCAAATGCACATAGCAAACACAGAGTTCGAAACCGATTTATCGTTTGTAGAGATGGGTATGAATGGAATAGAACACTCCATTTCTATACCGTTACTTTGCGTAGTTAATACATGCAATAACATGTTGATCACCATGAGTGCTATTAAACAGTATTGTCGTTGGATTCTGTTACAAATTCCATAAAATAAAATACCCATCTCTACAAGAAAAACTTCGAAGTATAGGCCCATTCAAAAAAAAAAAAAAAAAAATTCCCGGTAGGCATAAAAATAATCAAAATTACTCAACAATAATTTCAATGAAATAATATTATTTGCCGAACTTTTGAAGCATCCATTTTAGGTTGAATATGCTGCTGAATTTAAATACAATAAAAACAAAAATAATTCTATTTATTTTACTGTGATAATTTATGTTTAAAAACTTAAACAAAAACTCAAGTGCAGCAAAATTCTCCATACTTCCCTCGATGATGAATTGAATAGAAGAAAAAAATGAATATAAATGCAAATGAAAGAAAAGAAAACTGCACAAAACTAAATACAATACCCGTATACAAATTTCCGTTTTCAGTTGTAGTTACAACCAAAGATTTTTATTATACATACCTATAACAAACAATAATGTTTATGTAGAATAAAGCGATCCATTCAATTGGCTCCGGGTTGTTGCGCCAAATTTTAGTTACATTTTGAAGCACTTAATAAAATGGATTATTCAAACTCACACTACAAACAATTGCAATTAAGTGCTTAAGTAGTTTTAGGTGAAAATAAGTTTAAACGCTTGTATTAAATTTAAATCATAGTATAATATTTAACTAAATACTTAGCTGTAAAACAACAACAAAAAATGAAAGTTTTCATGATTCCTATGGTTTAGCAAGTAACATTTTTAAGATGAATTAATCCGAGAAGGTCGTGTATATTTAATGTTTTCTTGAACTTCTAGTCGCCCGCATAAAATATTTAATTATACATAAATTAAATAATTATTTAAAACAAGAACTCTAATTATTCAATTGTAAATTTGCAATAACTTTTCAGCCGTGAGTAAAGGCAATAATTATATAGCTACTACATACTGGTTCATACAAAACATGTTTGGTAAACAAAATTATGAAACGCAAGCGAAAATAATTAATTATAAATTTATTAGAAATTATTGTAGTAAGATGTAATAATACTTTAACTCACGAGAAAGTTGTGTATATTTAACAACGTATGTAACAATCCATTTCAAAATCAACATTTTGCATGTAAAGCGCATATCCAAACAATCAGAAAGAAATAAATCTAAAAAATCATAATAAAAAGCTGGTCGCGTTATTACTTATTATATCAGCATATAAAGCAGAGAAGAGATTACTTTTTTCGTTACAAAAAATATATATTTAACAGTTTGATTTTTTATAATTAAATACATTTAACACAGCAATTATCGAAACGTAAACAATTTTCTTTTTGTGATATAATATGACGCCAAATGCACTTTATTTCTGCTGCAATTTGGTTAATATTAGTTGCTCAGATGCATTAAGATGCTCGTAGAGGATGGGAAAGTGTTCGCTTTGTCTAAAGTTGATCAAAAATTTCTGTAAATTCTCGGCCATATCTCCCTGGTAATTTGATTCTTTAAGCAGCTCCTGCAATTGGTGGTCATCTTCATCATTATCCTCGTCGGCATCGAATATCAAATCGGAAATGTAACGCGGTTTTGAAACGCCACCAGTCCCAGATTCCTCCTCTTCAGTCACATCGTCTTCGGAGTCTGTGAGCGCTGCTTCGCATTTTCCCTCCTGGAAATGCTGATATTCGGAGATGAGCACTTTGAAAATCTTAACAAGTGCCGGTATGGTCACCCATTTCTGGGAGGCGGCAGCAGTTGAACGAGTCCGACGTCCTTCCCCAATCGGCTCATCGATAAGCTCCTTATATGTTATAGAAGTTAGGCGACTGTCCTGAGTGGTCATCCCGTATTCGAAGAGTTTGCAAAGCGCCAAAGTAGTGACCTAAAATATAATAGAAATTGTCTTCATTCAATTTGTCGTTCATCATATTGTAATGCGAAAATTACCTTGCGTTCGTAAGCACCAAAGAAACAAGTTTGTCTGGACAGCCAATTGTTGAGGACAAATTGAGTGGCTGGCTCTCCTGTGGGTCCCGGTACTGTCGACAAAAAGTTAAGCACCGCGTCCATTTGCGTGAGGAACAGGTGCGCAAATATCACAACCAAACTCATGATGACCTTGAGGCACTCGACCAGCTGCATTTTACTGATGACCGCCTTAAGCAGCATATCGATGTTCGGGCCCAACATATTGCCCATTTTTGTAATGATAGTTATAACCAAACGTCCGATTTGGCCGGCCGTCATTTCACTGTTCATTGGATTGAGCAACACGGTGGTCAACTGCATTACATGGTTGATGCCCTCGCCATCTTTGTAGTTGCAAATCTGTTCTGGCGATACGTTAATGAAGCTCCGCAAACATTCGCCGCCTGAAACCATAACAGCGTGATCATCGGTGTGAAGCACACAGTTGATCATGGCGGGGAAAGCAGAGTCGATCAGGACGCTAGAGAGTGGGGGCTCCGTATACTTGACTATGGTTGTGAGCACATCCAGTGCAATATCCTGTTTCTCCGTGGTTTGGCCACCTTGCAGCGCCAATATACTGACAATTGTTGGTATAAATTTCTCCTGCAGTGGTCCCAAGCATTGTTTACGCTGACAAAGTGCTTTGATTAGATCCTGCACGTTTTCGAGCACATAAGGATCCTCTGCATACTTCAGGAACACAGCAATTGCCAGCGGGGTCACCTTGCTATGTGCTGCATATGCAAAATCCTCATCGAACTAAACAAAAAAAAAAAAAAACCAATACAAGGTAGTTAATGAGAATAAATGTTTAGGAGAACTAATGTTTAGCCTAACACCATACAACTTTTGAATATTTCACGGCTTAGGTCGAAATTTGCTGGAAAACATTTTCTACTTTTTACTTATATTGAAGAGAGCCCAAATGTGCTTTTGGGAAGCTCAGAATTAACGTAAGTGTATACAATACTTTTAAAAAGCAACATCAGCAATGTTATAAAATAAATTAAGTGCGATATGTATGCGGACGGTACTCACCTTTACCATTACTGTAAGCGCCTCCATAAGCAGCGCCAGGACAGTGGCCTTGCAGCCGGGCACCAAGGCCATGATGCCATCCAAAAATCCACCCAGCTTTGATACCAGCAATGTACGCTTCTCACCCTCAACAGTTTCGTTGGCTTGCAAAAACTCGTGCAAAGCTCTCACAGCACTAATGCGCAAAATATGTGATTTATCTGGCGACAAACTGCACAATGTCGCATCTAGTATTTCCGACAACATTTGTGGATTGTAAAGATCCGACTTTGAATACGTGCTGAGTGTCCACAGGGCGCGTCCCACCAAATGCGGGGACTCCTGATGCACTAATAAATTGCGTACAATGGTCAGATAGTTAAGCAAATCGAATTTCGAATTGCCATCAAGTATAATATCGCGAAAGCCGTGCACGGCATCCATGCATGCTTCCTGGATTTTCCACCAATGCACGTTGCCTGCCGCCTTCTCAGCTTCAGCGACGCTAAAGTGACGGCCCAGAGCCTCTTGGAGAGGTTGAATTGCCTTCACGCCGAACTCATCATTGATGGCCTGCGAAAATAATCAATTTCGAATTAATCTGTGTGTTTCAAAAGGTTGCTTTGCTCTTTTTTAACATACCAATAAAACATCGCGTCCACACATGCGAACCGTCAGCTCTGCTCCACCATCGTCTTCATCATCCACATATTTATCAGGGTCGTCCTGCCAGTCCTCCAATTGCTCTTCACACAGTTGAATATATACAATCATGATATAAATCAAATCAGTGAGAACATTCTTAATGTTCCCGCGCAGTTTGCCGCATGTGACAATGCAGTTTATAAATTCCAATATTTGGATAATCATCGTTTGAAAATTGGTTTGCTCATCATCGTCCTCATTCTCACCACTGGGAAATGGACTTGGTTCGGTCTGATTTACGGTTACCTTGACATACGTATCGGCGATTTGTGTGAGCAGCTGCCAGATAATCGGCAAGATGCGATTCATAAAGGGGTTCACATATTTGGGCATCTCGCTGACCAAATACGTGAAAACTACACAGTGTAAAAGAAAAGCCTATGAAATAAATAAGCAGCAAGCAGATAATCATACATACCCTTTATGATTTCAGCCCGCAAAAGGAAATTTGAGCCGACACCGCTGTTCATGCTCAGATAATGCATCAGTTTGTCCATGAAATTTGTCAATATTGAGTTCATCATTGTGCCCTGCTCCTGCTTGTCGGTAATCAGCGCCGATATAGACGAGAACAGGGGCTTCAGAATTCGTATGGCCGAAACACGCGTCTTTATCGAATAGTTCTGCTCCGAGTCAAATATGCGATAGACCTCAGGAATGACCACCGGCCCCATGTCCTTGATTTGTTCGACATCGTAGGGTAGATCTTGTAACACTTGCATGGCGCCGTGTATAGAATCTTCATTGCCGCCCAGACATTTCACAATAATATCAAACAGCTCGGCCCATCCCTGCGGATAATCGGTGGCAGCAATTGTCGAAATCGTATGGGCCACAGACGAGCGAATCTTCGAGTTCGGATCATACAGCCCATTGGGTAATATGTTGCGTATGGTACGCTTGGCTTGTTCACTCGCTATGCCCCCAATTGCTTTATCGTTCTTAAAACCAGACTCGCTTATCTCAACCCAGTGGTTCTCCACATAGCGCGTCAACATGATGATTGCAATCAATCGCAGCGGCAGCTCGTGCGACTGATTCATGATGATCTCGGACAAGTAGACGCCATAGCCTAGACCAGAAACAAAAGTACAAAGGAACATTAGCAACCACACCCAGCGATATTCCCGCCAATTTGCATTACCTTCTGTGTATTGCAGCTGTTTGATGCGCTTCTCAGCGTGTTGTAGGACATTGGTGTTCGAGCTCAGCAGATTCTGTAGCTCTTCGGTGATGGCCAGTTTTACCGAATCGCCACAGTCGTTCTGGAATTGCAGCGACATGGTATTGTTCTAATTTCCGCGTCCTTTAAACCAAAAATTATCAGATCAATCAAAATCCGCAACCGTCGCAATTTGTTTTCGCAATCTGAGTGCGGCATGCGGCGTGTAAATGTAACTAGTACCAGTTCACAAATCATTTTTGTTCAGTGCTCTTTGTTAGGTTACGAATTGTTCAACACTAGTTTAGCTAAAGTGAGACAACCCAGCCCTGCGACTGACAGCAAAAAGAGGAGCTGCTGCCAATATTTTCTGTTAATAATAGTTTTAAATTGTATCGAAGAGAAATGACTGGCATCATGGACTCTGTGGAAATGCCGAAATTACCGGAAAATCAGAAAACCTTTGCCGGCATACCAGAAGCAATATTTCTAGTGAGTAATCAAAGAGCATGTGTCGCCGCCTTTGCACAGTGGTTCGGACTCGTAAATATAGCAGGCCATTATTATTAGATATACATACATACATATGTATATTCGGCACGTGCATGTGTATTTGTTTGCTGTAAGCACATGAATCACAACAACAGCAAAAATGACTGCTACTGCAATAGCTTTTAAAGGATAACGAAATAAAACCACTAGATGCCGTTAATATATTTAGCCTGCGAAATATATTTTTAAATTTTTGCCCAAAAACATTGTTTTTTGAAATATACCATACAAATATATGACGATCGACTGGGGCTGCATATACTCAATGGACATTTTTAAAACAAACTTATTTATTTAAATTCATTTCCCTTTCTAGGAGGAAATAGATTCCTTCATGGCAAAGCCAGAAAATGAGAATTGCGAGGAGGTGTTGCAGCGTCTGGACGAGCAGCATGGCAAATACCGATTCATGGCCTACAACCTGGAGGCGCGACGACGAAAGTTGAAGTCGCAGATACCCGATTTGGAGCGTTCGCTGGAAATGGTGAATGTGTTACGCAAGGAGGACGAGGAGCGCGAGACACAGTTCCTGCTTAGCGATCAGGTGTTCATCAAAACGCTGGTGCCGCCAACAAAGACCGTTTACCTCTGGCTGGGTGCCAGCGTGATGCTAGAATATACGATGGACGAGGCAGAGACGCTGCTGAAGCAGAATATTACATCGGCTGTGGCGAACCTTAAGACAGTGGAGCATGATCAGGACTTCCTTAGGTAATTATTAGATGGGAACTCAACAATTTGTATTTGTAACTAAATTGATTTTATTCCATTGTATAGAGATCAAATTACCACTACCGAGGTAAATATGGCTCGCGTTTATAACTGGGGCGTTAAAAAGCGGCAGGCCGCTGCCAAAACCAATGCGAGTAGCACTCCATCCTAAACATAATTGTTAGAAGAGCAGTTCGCAATGAAGCCTCAACACTCAGCAAAGCAATTGATGTGGCAAGGAGTTGCACCTATCACCACACTACATATTTATTTTACAACTTTCGCAAAACCCGAATGAATTCAAATTTTTGGCACGTCTTTTTTGAGGATTGCAATAATGTTACCAATCAAACAAGTTGCATTTGCTACGAAGCGAGCATTAACAATAAAATGAATGTTTATATAAGCAAGGCTTGGAATGAATTAATGGTTCATGGTCCGTTGATTTATTCTTGTTCTTTGGATATTATATAATAAATATATAATTTAATGCGACATAAATATTTTCGCATAGATATCATAGTTACAATTGTGCATATATGCTCAAGTTATATTTAAAATATTTGTAAATTTATGGGAGTTTTTACTCTGCCAACATGTTTCGCCATCGAGCTTGGTACCAAATCGGTAAACGCGTTGCGTATCGTTTTTGATAATTTGGACAGAGCTCTAAATGACAAGAATCCTCATAACAATTTTGGCACACTCCACAGACGCAGGTTAAATTCCCCATGCACTTGTCCTCCCTTTGATAAACGTTGCACGATTCGCCCTCACGCTTGGCACAGAAGTAGCGCGGACGACAACCTTCACTTTCGATTGTATGGAAATTGTATGGACACTCCTCTGGAATCTCTTCAGAACCGTACAATGGGCATGGCGGTTGACGAAATCGTCTGTAAGAAAATTTGAAAACAATTAAATAATGTTATTTAAGTAAATGCTTAGTCTTTACGCTGAACACTCACAGGGCTCGGCTTTCCCCTCCCCAAAGGGCAAGCAGCAGCACAAATGTGGAGAGCATTTTCCAGGAGCAAAACAATTTCCCTTGGTGCTGCATTTTGACTTCTGCTGTGGCAAGTTCTTAATTCTGCCTTTTATACTTGATATTTGTAATTTATGCACAGCATTAATTAATAAATCGAAAGTTCCACGCGCATTTCCAACCCCAAATTCATTAGGTGCTCAATGAAGTGTGAGCGCTGACCAAGTATTGTGTAGGTCAATGATAAGTCTGCAAGACGGCAGCGATGTCCGTGGCAATGCGTGGTAAGTTCTCAGGATTTAAATATTGTGCGGGCGTCTTAATTTTGAATGACAGCATTAATAATTGTTGGTCACATCTGCGGTCAAGCGCATTTATTTTTGTACTTCAGCTATTGGCGACTAGAATCTAAATGAGTTAATGGGATTTCCCATAAAAAAGTATGCATTGCCGCTCGGGCCATCGAGCAACCTTAAACTGATAATAATATTGATAATTGCAACATTTTAAAAATGTGTGTATAATTAAAATTGTAATTTCTATATTTTGCTGTAAACAAAGTATATAACAACTAGCACGTGCACACTGTTTTCTTAATTAGTGTTCAGAGTACGTGAACTATTCCCACTTCATCGCCTGACGTATATAGTCGCCATCAGGACTGACATAGTTCTTAATGGGCGGTGTAGCCACGGGTCCTGTAAGAGTGACGGGCAGAAGCTGCAGGTCCATTTCAATGGCTGCCTGATATAGTTCCTCGGACTCGCGACGCAGTTCTTCCAGTGCTTTATTTTGGGACTGTACCAGTCGGTCTATGATTTGAAAGTCGGTCACTTTTTGTTCATGTTTGTAGCGCGCCCATTGCTTCTTGAGCTGTGCCCGCTGTTCCAGCTCCGTAGGATTTATTGGTGTGAGTTTACGCAGGCGTTTTCTATAAATATTTGGAAAGGTGTGGTTGTTAATGTAAATCCGAGCTCAGATGTGCAATAAATTTGGGCAAACGTCACATTTAACGATTGAAATGGTAATTGCTGTTATACATTGGAATTAATTTGCACAAATATTTTGCTTCCTCGTATTTTTTACTCACTGCTTTTCTTGAATTAGCTCCATGGGCACTTCAAGCTCTTCCACTGGCTTCAGCTGTCGCGCATTCTTCTCTAGCCTGCGGATTTGCTTTTCAATCTTCTTTTTTCTGCGATCCTCACGTTGTTTAATAATTTGGGGATCCAGCTTTTTCTTTTTCTTAAGCGGTTCGGCACAAAGTATCGGCGTCGTGTGCAGACAACGGGCGGCACAGAGGCTGTTTTGCAGGCTTAGTCTGCGGAAAGTGAACAATTTTAGCATTCTTTAATGATACAGCAGGGCAATGCGATTCTATTTACCTGGCGAATGCGCTGAGGAGCGACATTTTCATACACAATTAGCAATTTAACAACAGTGTGGGATCCGTTTGCGTAATATGCTTCTTCTTCTCTACACAAGCACAGCTGTTTTTACTTGTTCATTTCACCAGCTCGTGAGTGAGCAATACGTTCAGCGGAACGAGCTGATATAAGCGAACTACTAATGATTTATTTTAGGATGAATTAGTTCTAATGAGCGGCAGTTAATTTAAATAATAGTTGAATATAATAAATAGATTTCGATTTGAAATAGGCTATCAGCGTATTTTGTTTGTTTTCTTAAATTGATGTTTAAATTTAATTTTCGATATATAATAGAATTTGCAGCCACGAATTAATCCTCTATAACTATTTAAAATGTGAACCAAATCTGTTAATCGACGATAGCTTTTTCATACAAAACTTGCCAAGTGACCAACAAAGCTAGTACGGGAATACGAATTGAAAATAAAAATAACCGAAGGAGCAAATATAAAATTGATTTACATCATTATTGATTATAGAGCAATAATTTCTTATATTTGCCAATTATCTATGCCAATTGTTATGAACGTAAACGTAAAATTATGTAAGAGGAGGTTCTGAAAATACATGCAATCATACAGTGCTGTGTACCATTATGGCCTACACTATTTATTAAACCTTTTAAAATATTTTAGCTCATTAAAACTATTTTATCGCCACAAAAATTCCCTTCAGATGCAATGCACATATGCCAACTTATTTTCAAATCCTCGTCGCAGTCCAAATAATACTTTTTGGAATGGCTTCCTTCGGCTTGAATCTTCTCAATTGTATCAAAGCGATGTCCTCGATATAGTTTTTCCCATTTATTAAATAGGCAGAAAGAAGGAAAATAGAGTAGCCGTGGAACCTTATGCGTCTTGTTTTTGGCGAAATGGTCATGAATAACGACTGCAGTGTATATGAAACCAAACGAGATTTGACTGTTACGAGCCACAAAAGATCTCTTAAAATGGTGTTGACTTATACATTATAAACGCATCAGTCGGACACTCACGGTCCGCCCAAGGGCAGTGTCCGCTTAAGGGGATAAAAAAAGAATAAAAAACAAGTAAAAAAAGATGAAGTCGGGTGTCCCGACTTTGAAATACTTTGTACATAGGTTTATAATAATTATAGAAATTTAAAAAATTAAGAGAATTAAAAAAAATTGTTTTGATCGATTTTACTTCTCTCGGTATTCGAACTCACGTAAAGGGTGTATAATTGCACATTACATATAGAGCAATTGCGTTTACGTGAGTGTATGAATGCCTATGTGCGTCTATTCGTGTCTGTGTAAACATGTTTGCAGCAACATCAATAACAGCTGCGGGCGCATGGGTAGCGCTTGGGCAGCAAATATATGTATGGCTATAACTTCCTGCTAAATCGGTCTATCATGATGAAACTTGGCATACGGACACATAATCACTTACTGGGGATATTTGCAAAATGTGAGTTCGAAATTCCAAGAATTACGGGAGTTACGATTTGTGGGGGAGAGGCGGGAGGGAGGGAAATTCCAAAAAACCACTTTTTCTGCGTATTCATATAAGGCATCTTGGACAAAAAATAAAAAGTGTCCGTCGAAGAGGTTTCCATTAAGGGAGTATTAACAGATCCGAGTCATCAGCTTAAAACATTATTGTACGGATGTACATATTAGACCTGAATGAATTTTTGGTCAAATAATCGGTCACATGCGTCGATCGATGAGACGGATGCTGAGCAATTTTTGGTCGTCAGTCAATTTGTGGGGAACAAACCGTGCACACACCTTTCGTAAGCCCAAATGTTCGGTCAAAATGTGATAAATCGATGTTTTGGAGATGTTTAATTCCATTTCCGTCAATTTCCATGATGATTTCGGTTGATTTTTGATGAATTCACACACAGTTTCGATGGAATTTTCGGTGATCACGAATTTTGATTGGCCCACATGCTGATCGTCATTTATGTCCTCACGACCACTTTGAAAACGTTGAAACCCCTCGTGCACTCTGCTACGGGATAGGCAATCATCGCAATAAACTTGTTCTATCAATTGAAACGTTTCGGTAAATGGTTTACCAATTTTAAAACAAAATTTAATGTTGGCTCTTTGTTCGAAGCTCATGTTCGCACCGATAACACAAACATACTGACACTTAAAACGCAATAACTTCACTTCCAATCGATGAAATGTAAATGTAATGTAAATTCTTACTGGACAATCGATAAAGATAGCAGATTCTAACGCACCAGTCGACATATAGATAGCGCTACCAGAGGGCGCTAGATTCAAAAAGTCCTGTTTACTTTGGAACGCACCTTGTAAAATATAGTTAGCCTAAGTTTCCATAGTTTGTTAAAGAATGGGCAAAGTAAATCTATTAACTTTTTTTTTTTTTTGTTTGTTTGTGAAATTACATATCTCCAAAACAATAAACAATTTATGATGCCTAATTAACATGTAAAACGAACCGTTTGTCCGCCTCCGCTTGAACTTGGGATATAGACTTTTAAATACAAAAACTACTTACCTTTCATACATATGTATTCCTGTTTAACGTAATTCAAATAATACTTCAAATTAGAGTCATTTAAAAGGCGTAAGGCATATAGTATGATTTTGTGATTTACGGCCTCCCGTTCTTTAAGCTTGATCTTGCAAGCTTATGTAGATACAGGATAAATAATTTATCATATCCTTTAGCTTTGTTTGTATATATCCTTTGTATATCCTTTAGGATGTTGTGAACTGCAGTCTTGGTTTTTGGCTGTTCACTCCATATTCCACATTCACTCCATAGTAAATATTTGAGGCGATTTTAATTTGTTTGAATAATATTTTAAAATATTTAGTAAAAATGGATTACGGCCTTATATTTTTTATTCTGTCTGGCCTTCATTTCAATTTCCTAAATAGAGAATAAATCTAAAGAAACTAGGAAACTTTTTTGTTGTTTTTAAAAATATTCTATGTAAAATTTAATATACTTTTTTAATAGGCGGATGACCCATGAATATGTATTTTTGTTTGGCTAATAAATTTCTAGATGTGTGGCCGCTAAACTTGTATTGATGAAGGATGAAGGTGGTTAGCTTTCCTCAGTCGGATTGTCAATAGCTGTTTTGTATCCGGCTCTTTTTTTTGAGCTTTGAGATTTTTGAGCTGTCATCAATAGGAACCTTTCTAAGAGATAGTTAAGCTATGCTTTTTTTCAGGCGAACAAGTATTCAAATTTAAAAGTACGATAGATCCAGAAAGGATGCCTCAATCTCACAGTATGGCACATAACACTTTGAAAGACCTGCATGAGATTTGTTCTGCTGCAAAGGATATTTTCGACTAAATTTTGAGAACCATCTGGCAGTGGCTGTCGATGCTGTTACTTCCTCAAAAACCATATTAAGTTCATTTACGTACTCTTTTTGTGCCAGTTTCTGTAATCATTTTAAAAAATATATATTTTGAAGAATCTCCGATTTGATCCGAGAACTCTAGAATTACGCATGCTCGAAATATAATAGGCGACATAGTTTGTATTTGTAATCCAAATGTTGAAGCGTTGACTGTTGACTGTTGACTGTTGACTGTTGAATGTCCTCCATATATCTGGGTCCTGTAATATCATGGCATTGTGTTTTATATATTCATTGCACTTGAAGATCATTAACGCCAAATAATGCTATGAAATGGAAAATTGGAAACAGATAAAGCTTAACATGTATACGTCTTACCTGCGTTCAGATTTGTCAAGTGGTTTTCAAATCGCATAATGAAACAAATATGCCATTTACTATTTTTATACGATTTTAAAACTTTATTTTTCAAGATGAAAATAAACAATATACTTTTTGTGTTTTTGGTTTTAGTAAATTTTACATAATTTTCAGTAAAATAAGTTATTTTTGTTTTTCTTTTGTTTTTGTTTGCGATTAAAAATGTCATATTATAGTTTAGTGTTTTGTTCTCGTTTTCCGTTTCCATTCCTTTACGCAAATTTTATGATTTTGGTTTTTGGGTTTGCATAAATATATAAATTTTATATAATTACGTTTGCTTACATTCCAAAAGTTTTAATTTTCGTTTACTCTTAATGCTGTTCATGCTGCGTTACATGTTGTGCTGTAATTATTATTTTGAGCTAAATGCCTATTTTTCATACAAATCAAATGTACTTTACATATTTATAATTTTGTTTGCGCGAAATTTACAATTTTGGCGAGTGTGTTCTCAAAACTGTTTGGATATTCTTCATTTGAAATATTCTTAACGGCCAGACTAACTTTTCGAAATTTCCAAAATGTACACCAAAAATAGGGGGTCGGGGGGTCAAGAAAATACGAAACCGAATTTAAGCGAAATGTATGAGTGTCTATTTTCAGCGAATACATTGTATGCTTGTTTTCTCAAAAAGAATTAATTATATAAAGTTATTATATCATACTTATTTACGCATACATAATACTCGTAAATGGTGAAGTTGCCGATCCTTCTGGATCCTTCGACTGTCCCGTTTATTTGTTTATGTTTTCGATTTGCATATTTCATTCATATATGTATGTATGTATGTATATTGTGGTAAGTAGTAGTGGGTGTCTGTGTCAGTCTGTGTGTGTATGGCTGTGTATTTTGCTTCCTTTTGGGGGGCTGTCTCATAATTAGGTATGCTCGTCTATTGTTATTACATATACTTATAATTTAAATATGTCGTTTTTGCTGTTCTCACTGCTGCCTTACTTTCACTTAGTGTGGAATGGAATGTTATATGGTACGTAAATACTTAGATATATTCACTTTAGTTTCAGTTTTGCTTTTATTTTCGAACAAAACATCAATATATAGACAACGAAAATGCCTTTAAACTGACCTTTGCCATTATAATGCTCTTCAGATTTGAAATATCAAATGAAAAAAAAGAGAAAGCTTGTGAGTTCTGCCAAGTTGGAATTTCGAAAATATTTTCAACGCCAGGCTTGCATTTGAAGGCTGTTTTATGCCGCTTCGTAATTAATAAACAACTCAGTGTGTGTTTAAATGTAAAATTAATCTAAAACCGTAGTATATGTTTCGCTTGAATTCT